AGAGAAAATAAGAGAGAAAATAAGACAATACAAAGAGAATAGAATTGTATTGAATGGTATAATTTGTTTACAAGAGAGACATTCTATTTATAGTTTAACTTGCTAGGAATGTTTTACTTTCTAATCAATGTGGGATTAACTGACATGTGCATTATATACAAAATTTATTCTCAAAAAATAGGACTCAATTAGGGGCTTAATTTCACTTATTTACATAGTTTTGGTAATTTGGTTAGAAAAAAACAAGGCAAAATATTGAGAATATTTCTCTGTATTTTGCTTAATACTGTCGAGTTCTTTGTCTCTCTAAATTTCTCTCATTTCTTTGTTGTCAAGAATCTTGTTCTTGGTAGTGTAAATAATTTGTTTGTTCTAGTTGGATGATAGAATTTTGAACATTTTTAGTTCACCTAAAGTAACGACGAAGTGCTAGTCGGCTACTTTCAACCGTTGTATTCTGAGAGACAGACGTCATGAGTCCTCTTGCACCATAGTGATGGACAAATCTGTCTTTAAAAAATTGTATACAACACATGCCTTGGTTCATTCCAGTACTGCTACTACATCAACAACGATTTTTCTATTTTTATTATTACTCTATTTATAGTAATTTTTCTTTCCATTATTTTATTTATATAATTTCAATGGTATTTCTATTTTTGTTTGGTATTTTTCCTAACATATAATAGTGATTATATACAGTGCAAAATTGTGAAAAAAGTATGGGCCCCTCGGCTTATGTCCCTACTGATATATTAGAAGACTAAAGCCATTTGTCCCGACTTAATGACCGGGACAAATGACAGGGAGCCAAGGCGGTGCCCTGTAATTGGAGGGGGAGTTGACCCCTCCAATGTGGGGGCTCAACCTCGGCCCCTGTTTTTGGGCCTGGTCATTGAGCCGGGCGCAATAGCACGGTTGATATTAGAATGCTAGTTTGTAGAATGAAGTCCCGACTCCCGGGATAGATTGTATCATGGTCCTTAAGACTATGGTTATAAAGGAGTCGTATATGTTGATAGGGGCGGAGTTAGGATAAAAGAGTTGGGGGAAGGGCAAAATTGAAATATTATATGGATTTAGTTTTTTAAATCTCGTGCAAAATCTTGAAAAAATTTAATTTAATGTCTTGAAATTCAGATTCAGTGTGTGAGCAGTTGATCCCACTGCCTGAGAATATGCTAAATCCACTCACATGTGTTGAATGGAACTCCTAATATTTTTTTTTTTGTTTTTTTTTAAACTTTTTTTTTTAAGAGTCATTGGATATCTAATTGTCAACTCATTACACTGTGGTTAGAGGAAAAACCAGGGCCAAAAATAAAAATAATAATTATACTTGGCTGATATATAGGAAAAAGAAAAAACTATGTGAGCCCCCCTCCCTCCACTCCTAAATGTGGTTGAGGTTGAAGATGATCACAAATATATAATGTGGTTGTTCGTCAAATTGTTTGAGAAGTAAGCTCGTCTGGTGGAACCTCTTTGCTTGATTTTAAATCAATCAAATTTCATTT